TCAGCTTAGCCAAGTGCTCATTTGAGTTACGCGGCCAGCCCTGGTCTTGATCAAAAAAAGATTTTATACTTGATTGTTTGTCAGAAGTAACACCACATTTAAATTCTTTACTCTCTGTCCAATTTAACTCTGACTTGCCACAAATACATCAAACTAATTTAGGATTAATTTCCTCAAGGAAATATTTATTTTTAACTTTTTTATTTATTTAGGAGTTTATATTAATCTCGATTTCATTTTTGTCTCCACTTTTATCCTCATTTTCAAGATGACCATAAATGTCTTGATTTACAAAAAAATTATAAGAATTTAACTTTGAATTTTTCCATATTGATTTACCAAAAGAGTAACATATCTATTTACACTCAATGACAAAATTTTGTATCCAAAAATTTATTTTGCATTTTTACAAAATCCTACTAAATAAATAATTGTGATCTTCACACCATTTTAAAGTTATGGTTCTTGAAAAAGTTTTTTATTATTGTTAATTAAATCTTTATTTATGAAGTTTTTGTTAGCATTAAAATTACGAAATTGATGATCATTTTGGTTTTTTTTTTTAGCCAAATGCTCACAAATTATTGGTCTTTTCAAAGGCAGTCACAAAAAGTCTGACATTAGTAAAATTCTTGGATTTAAAGTTTCAACTGTAAAAAAAACCATCCAGCATTATGGTGATTCAGAAATGCCAGTAAGCAAAAAAAGAATTGGTTGGCCCAAATTGCTTGGTGAGGATGAAAAAAATATTTTGGGGGAAATCATTAACAGTAATAACCGAACACCAGCTAGTGAGATAAAGGAATCCTTTTATCAATCAACTGGTTTAAATGTCTCAACTAAAACAATTTATCGAAATTTGCACCAAATTGGTTTCAATTCTCACCATGCAGCTTCAAAACCACTTCTTAATGATAAACAACGTCAAAATCATCTCGAATGGTGCATTAATCGAAGGCATTGGTCTAAAAAAATGTGGAGATCTGTAATATGGAGTGATGAAAGCCGGTTTACTCTTTTTTGCAATGATGGACTAACAAACATTTGGCGTAAAGTTGGAACTCAGTACAATATTGAAAATTTGACGCCTACAGTAAAACATGGTGGTGGTGGAATCATGGTTTGGGGATGTTTTTCAGCAAAGGGATTAGGACCATTAGTTAGAATAGAAGGGAAGATGAATCATAAAGACTACATTAATATTTTAGAGGATAATTTGCTACCATTCATCCAATAAAATTACCCTACAAATCATTACAAGTTTCAAGATGATAATGCTCCTGTCCATATTGCAAAGAATGTGAAAAAGTGGATGTCTGAGAAGGGGCTCATCCTTCTTGAAAATTGGCCTTCTCAGTCGCCAGACCTTAATCCCATTGAGCACTTGTGGGATGAACTTGGCCAAAGATTAAAAAATCACCTTGAACATCCAAAAAATTTGGGAGAGTTGGAAATTTTCTCGAGACAAGAATGGGAACAAATTCCTTGCAAAAAATATTTGAATTTGATTGATAGTATGCCCAGAAGGATAGAAGAATGTATTGCCAACAATGGTTGGTCAACTAGATATTAAGATAGTAAGAAATAATATTTTTTCGAAATCGGAGATAAAATTTTATCTGTTAAAAATTGATCATCCATTTTATAATTTTTATTTTTAATTTTTTCATAATAAAAATTTCGCAAAATAAAAATTTGTTATTAATAAAAAAATATTTATTTAATATAATTTTGAGAAAATCTCAGAATAATTTTTTTGTCCATTGAGTGTATCTCTGGAAACCCTATGTAGATCCTTATTAAAACATATAAAAAATTTGAAGTTTTCAAGTTTTTTAATTAACAATCATGTTGAACCTTTTTCAATTCTACTTTAAAAAAGAAAAAAGAAACTAAAATTTTAAAATATAAAGCTTTTTTACATAATAAAAAAAAAAATTTTTTTACATGATGTTTTACACCCAGAAATTAATACGACGCAAATTTTCAATATTGTACCGAGTTCCAAGTTTATGCCAAATTTTTGTTGGTCCATCATTGCAAAAAAGAGTAAACTGGCTTTCATTGCTCCATATTACAGATCTCCACATTTTTTTAGACCAATGCCTTCGATTAATGCACTATTCGAGACGATTTTGATGTTGTTTACCATTAAGGAGTGGTTTTGAAGCTGCATGGTGAGAATTGAAACTAATTTGGTGCAAGTTTCGATTTCGATAAATTATTTTAGTCGAAACATTTAAACCAGTTGATTGATAAAAGGATTCCTTTATCCCACTAGTTGGTGTTCGGTTATTACTGGTAATGATTTCCTTCAAAATATTTTTTTCATCCTCACCAAGTAATTTGGGCCGACCACTTCTTTTTTTGCTTACTGGCATTTCTGAATCACCGTAACGCTGGATGGTTTTTTTTACAGTTGAAACTTTAAATCCAAGAATTTTACTAATGTCAGACTTTTTGTGACTGCCTTTG